TTTTATGTCCCCCTCGAAGTCACAAAACATTTGTTTGAAACATTTTTCTCTAAAATGCACTATTCAAGAGAAATTTGAGGTTGTCATTTAAAATGAGACACCCTATATATATCGATAAACCGTTAAATAATAGATTAATAAATTTTTTATTTAAATATAAAAATAGATTATATTAATTATTATATAATAAAAACGGCTATTAAACTAAAAGACTGTACTATATAAATATTAGAAAAAATTATATTCTTATATCATTATTATTGTAACAATTAAAGAATTACAGTTTTGCAACGTTTCTGGAATATTACAAGCATATTTGCAAGAATATTGTTAATTTACATTTCTGTAGTATCTCTGCAATGTTACATTGCAATCTGCAATATTACAACATTGCAACAATATTGCTTCAATCTTATGTGCTGTATGGGAGTAGCAAAAAAAAAATGAAAATAAGAGGTACAACCTCCAATGACCTTGAACTCGTCAATTATTATTCAGGACATGATTCTGAACAACATTCAAGAGATTTTAGTCGTTGGTTAGGCACCTTGCGTAATGTTAATGCGCCGGCGGTACTATAACTTTCAAAGCCTTATAACTTAACAAGTACTTAACTAAAAAGGTAGTTAATTATAGTGTTTTGGAAAACTCTCTTCGGCATATTCCTGTACAGGGTGTCCCGACCTTTTTTGCCAATCACTTTTGTGTTGATAGAGCGGATTAAAGTCGAAAAGTCCAAAATGGTAGAGGACTTTTCGACTCAGTTTAATCCGCTCTATCAACACAAAAGTGATTGGCAAAAAAGGTCGGAATACCCTGTACAGGAATACGCCGAGCGTCCGAGAAAGTACATTTTCGGTTTTCGATCGCTTATAACAAGCGATACTAGAGGATGCGATACTACACTACGATACTAGAGGATGTGAGACAGCGAGAGAGAGCAGCCGTCCTTTTCGCTCTAATACTCGCTTGTAGAGCGAGAAGAACGGGCGCTGTTTCTCGCTGTCTCGCTCGCTCTCGCGGCGAAGACGGCCGATTCGATGCCGGTAGGTGTCTGCTTGGTGGGGGTACAAGTGGTGGGGCTGGTTTCCGTGTTGCCGGGGAGCCAAATGTGCATCACTGACTACAATAGGCATTCAACGTGACACGACAATGCACGACCATACGCGACAACACGAGAACCTACAACTAAGGACTCAACTGTGGCAAGAGAGACGAACGCGACTCGGTCCTCGATAATCTCTACACGACTCTAATTCTTCAAAACGCAACAACCAAAGATCTCCCCTCGACTCGATTCTCGAAACGCGACAACTAACTATTTCCAATGCTCGGGAGGATGGCACGTGGCTCGCGATTCCGCGGCTCTACACGGCGGCCATTACGCCAGTCTATCTTCACGATGCGAGCTTGCTTACGTGAGATCCACTCGGCGACGTACCCCGGTCGGCAGCTTTACACGCTCAACGCTCGTCTCACCCTCGACGTCCTGATCCTCGCGTGTCTTTTCGACACTCTCTTCCCCGCAGCTCTCGGTAGTCCGGCTCTAAGGTTCGCGTTCCCCGTCGGCAGCGGTCTCGTATTTCCTTTACATCTCCTAAGCTCGGCCACAGTAAGAGTGAGTCCCGGGAGCTCCCGGCGGATTTTCGCAGGCTGCTTAGCTCCCCCCTCCTTCGAAGGGGGGGAGGTAGTCACGCTGATTGGCTTCCGCTTGTCACGGTATCCGCGCGTGTCGTACAGGCCCGCGCGGCCTTGATTCCTCGCTCTTACGAGCGTGTAATAAATGTCCCCTGTCAGGGGTGGCGTCTCCGTTGACTACCCCGGCATCTTCGGGCCTGGCGAGGGAGTTCAGGGTGGTTTTCTCTCCTGCTCCTCGTCGGGGCCCTATGCCCCCGCCGGATGTCCGTCCGGTCCCTCGAGAGTAGTAATACTAGGGCGGTTCTGTTCCATGGTCCTCTAAGAGAGGCGCGGGGCGTACTTGATGGCACGCGGAGGAAGGCGTGGGGGTACTCGTGGGCGTGGGGAAGGAGGGGGGAGGCGCTGGAAGGCTCCGACACCATCGGTGTTTATATAAACACCTCGTAATTGCCGGTCACCGCCGCCACCGCCGTCGCCGCCGCGTGATTATGGCGATGAAGGAATGTATCTCGTCAGGTATCACAAAGACTGTTCTTTCTATGCACTAGACAGCAGGTGGTCGTGCTCGGAATGCGGAGAGAAGATGTACATTGTATATCCATGCAGCATGTGCCCACTTTGCGCACATTAAAAAACTATTGTAAACAGTATTGTGAACAAAAAATGAATGTGAAAAGTATGGCTGACTATTGTGCGAACGTTGAGGGCATGGCTGGTGTAAATACAGACAAGTTATTCGAAGCAATGGAAGTAGAATATGAGGACATAGTGGACTAAAAATCGTCCAACGATACAGAATGTCTTGTTCGTTTGGACGATGGCAATATGGATCACGCAGAGAAATTTATGCAGCCTTCGGAAATCGGAGCGTTCGACATTCGTACTAATTACTGCATAATCTGCTATTATTATACAACGGGTAGTGGTGGTTCGTCAGGAAGCACCAAGACTGTTCTTCTTTTACACAAGGCACCCAGTGCTCGAAATGCAAAGAGCCAACGTACACTGTATTACCGCGCAGCATGTGCCCACTCTGCACACGTTGAAAAAACTATTAAATGCTCCGTGTAAGAGTGCAACGTAATCTAAAGACTATGAAAAAGACATGGAAAATCACGAGCGAGTGGAACGCGAATTACTAGAGCAGTGCGGCCAGGTCGCTCTGGTAGAGTGTTTCGCATGGTTGCAATGATGCGACGAGTGCATCGAGCGGCTCGAAGAACTTTGTCATACCAAGCGTCCGCGCCGTTGGACACAGACAATCCATGGTGGCGAGGATCGCGCGACTCGCGGGTGCAAAGTCGCAATTGGAGCGACGGTTCGTATACGTTGGTGGCGAGTACGCGAGTAGCAACGATAGATCTCTTGTATGGCGAGAGATCGACGCCGCGTTCGAAAGTCGTATAGTGATAGGCGCGGTGATAAACTCGATCACATCGAGCCGCGACAGTTTTTGGAAGATGCTGGCAATGTAGTGCTAGAGCGAGTGCGAGACGTAGAAAGACATGACAATGTGAAAGTGAACACAGCGTTCAACGGCGAGTTCGCGACGAAGGATAAACGTGCTAACAAGAGCATAATTACAAAGAACAGCGAAATATATCGATGCACCGATATACGCGAGTGGTACGAAAGGCACGTCGTCGAGCCTATCTTGACATCGCTTGGAGAGTTCTAGGAACGCGACAGCGGGTGAGCGCTGTCGCGAATCCACAACTTGACTCTTAACGTGAACAAACTAAATCCCATACACGCGGGATGTCACATCGAACTGCCGCGAGCAATTATGTTAAAGAAGGCAGTTATCAACATGAAATCCATGGACAATCCATGCTTCGAATGGTCGGTGGTCGCCGCTGTGTACCCCGCAGAAAGACATGTGGATCGGGAATCATCGTATCCGGATTACACTGCAGTGTTAAATCTCGCGGGTATCGAGTTTCCGACATTAAAAGACATTCTGAAATTCGAACATTTGAACGCGATGTCGATCAATGTATATGGCATTGAAAATGAACAGGTTCCTTCTCTACGCCTCACCGGTGATAAGAAGGAGAAGCACGTCAACATGCTGTATCCTGCAAAATCCACGCAACAACGGTGTCACCTACTTTGCGTGGATAAAGAACCTGTCCCGTCTCGTGAGATTGCAACTTACATAAAAGGAGCATAAGAAATATTTCTTCAACCGGTAAGTATAATAAGAAAAGCCAATAAAAACTAAATTTAAAAAAGAATGAAAAAATGATTTCTCTATTTACAGGTGCTTTCATTATTTTGGCTCGTGCAAAAAATTGCAGACGCGCAAAGTGGAAAATCAACAACTGCGCCATCCGACCGCCGTGCGTGGACGACAAGTGGCTTGAATTCAGCAACCACTGCAACCAGGAACGAATGTCGTTCATCGTCTACGCCGACCTGGATTGCGTTCTACGCAAGACGGAGCCCAGCAAGGAAGACGCGTCATCGTACCCGTATCAGCGACACGAAGCGTTTAGTATAGGATACTACGTGCACTGCTCGTACAATGACGCGTTATCGTCGTATCAGTTCCGTCGCGATAACGATTGCATCACGTGGTTCGCGCGACAACTCGACAACTTGGCGCATCGTGTGAAAAATATCATATCCGCCAACGTGCCCATGAGTTTGTCGAAATAACAATGGGAGGCGTACCGTAGCGCGACGCGTTGTCACATCTGCGGGAAACTGTTCGCGCTGGACGACACGCGGGTTCGCGATCATTGCCACTTAACCGGTTAAGTGGTAGGCTTTTTAAAACATTCCGTGCCAAAAGTGGTAGGCGTCAATTGTGAACTAAAATATACCAAAATTTGGTCCTGGGGGTCATTCAACGTATTAGTCGCCATGTTGTGTTCGCCATCAAATTTTACAAATTTGACGCCAAAATCGAGTTCAGAAGCCCAAAAAACAATAGTATACCAAATTTCAAGCAAATTCGTTGAATAATATAGAAGTTATTCAAGATGTGCATATATGCTACAATACCACTTTTGGCACGGATTCTTTTTGTGCATATATGCTACAATACCACTTAACCGGTTAAGGCGATGCTAAAGCCTTCTGTTTTACCACATTTCCATTAGGTGAAAAATCTCTGTATTGGATGTACGGATTGCAAAAGTATTATTGCTTAAATTAAGCACAAACAGGATCTCAGCTGCACTGGATTTCATGAAAAAATCGAAAAAAAGTTTCAGATTCATTAAAAATTCACTTACTTTTGGCTCGTACAGCTGTCACCTCAGATATATATTTGCTTGATATAAGAGTTTTAGAGTCCATATCTTGAAAATAAGCGTGCAGCTGAGGTCACATTATTGAAACAAACGATACCGAGTTTGTAGAACTAAGATTGAAAGTCTAGAAAAGAAATATTTCCACTGAATAGAAAATACGTGTATACAGGTGCTTTGCGAAGACTGGGACTGTCAACAGAGCCGAAATTCCGTGTAGCAGTAGTTGCGCGGTCTTGCGATAGATGGTGCTGGCATATGTTAGATAAGAACAGATGTATGTGTTTGAGTAAGACAGAATGATATATATTATATAATATAATGTAAAAACTAAATCAAAGATGTCGCCACTATTATCGAATTTGGAATTAAAAAAGTCTGTACTATCGACCTTGATTGAATTGGGTAATCGGTTTAGCATCCCCTTAACCGGTAGATACCGCGGTTCAGCACATTCAAATTGTAATCTTAATTATAAAAATTTATTCTATATTCCGGTTGTATTTCACAACTTGTCGAGATACGACGCGCAATTTATAATTAAAGAAATAGCTACTGCGTACGACGGACATGTAGATCTCCTTCCGATAACGAAGGAAAAATACATTTCATTTACGAAACATGTCGATAGCACCAAAGACAAAAATGAAAAGAATTTTCATAAAAATTGCGTAAAATTAAGGTTTATTGATTCCTTCAAATTTCTAAGTATAAGCCTTGATAAATTGGTGTCGTATCTCGATAAAGACAAATTAAAAATTGTACGTTCCGAATTTTGCAAGCTCAGCGCGAAGGATTTCGATCTTCTCACACGAAAAGTTGTCTTTCTGTATGAGTACGTTAACTGCGTTGAAAAATTGCAGGACACGCTCTTACCGCCGCGCAAATTATTTTTCAGTTCATTGACGGGCGATACATAAGTGTGACTACAAAAAGCAGACTACAAAAAAATTATAAATCTACTCACTACTTCTTGCTTTCTTAGCATCTTCTATAGAAACACTGAGTTTGTACTCAGTGTTACTCTCAGCATCGATTAAAATTAACTCCTCCATCTTTTCCGCCATCTTGTGCTGTAGCTGCCTCACCTCGACAGCCGCAGCAGCCGCAGTAGGAAATGACGACAACATTAATGACGTCTTTACCCTCTCGCAGCACTGCCACAGCGTGCTACGATGATTTTTGGAACGGTGTTGGCAGTACTGCCAGCGCTGACAAACAATTTTGGAACACAGCCCAGGTTTCACGTGGGACGCCATGCTGAAACATACGCGCGTAAGATTTGAGTTGCTCACCGACATCGATATGGTCATGTTCATTGAGCGCGGTATACTCGGTGGCTTTAGTCAATGTTCCGACAGATACGCGCAGGCTAATAACAAGTACATGCGTTCGTATGACTCATCGAAACCGTCGTCGTACCTTATGTACTACGACGTGAATAATCTGTAAGCATGGACGATGTGTCAACCTTTGCCATACGCCAAATTCTGATGGATCGAAGACCCAACGTGAGCGCAGTCGCTCCAGATTCGTCCACAGGTTATATTCTCAAGGTCGATCTCGAGTATCTGCAGCATCACACAAAACCGACCGACACACTGACCTACCTTTCTATCTGATGCGCGATAAGCCGCCCGGCAAGCGCGAGGATAAACTTCTAGCGACGCTGTACAATAAGCAGCGTTACGTCATCCACTACCGCAAACTGCAGCAATGTACTCGTCACGGTCTTCGCGTAACAAAGATCTACCGAGTGTTACAATTCGCTCAATTTGCCTGGCTCCGTGATTACATTGAACTTAATACGCAATTTAGAACGCGTGCAAAAAACGATTTCGAAAAAAATTTGTATAAATTAATGAACAATGCGGTATTCGGCAAAACTATGGAGAATGTGCACAATCATGTAGATGTAAAATTATTAACAAAATGGGATGGACGATACGGCGCTGAGGCAATGATCGCGAAACTGAATTTTCACAGCCGCAGCGTCTTTGCGGAAAATTTGATCGCCGTCGAATTGCGTAAACTCGAGGTGAAGTTCGACAAGCTGATTTACGTGAGTATGTGTATACTCCACATATCGAAAGTCTGCTTGTATGAATTTCAGTACGAGTACATATCACCGATGTTTCAAGACAAATATAAGATCATGTACACCGACACTGACAGTCTCATTTACCGTATAGAATGCGACGATGCTTACGAGACTATGAAACGCGATATCACTAGATTCGAGACAAGCGATTATCCGGCAGACAACGCGTACGGTATGCCTCTCGCGAACAAAAAAGTACTAGGCCTAATGAAGGATGAGAACAACAGTGTATTAATGACCGAACTCGTTGGACTCAGAGTGAAGATGTACGCGGTGAGGGTGGACGGCAAGAAGGACACTAAAAAGGCGAAAGGTGTAAAGAGTAACGTCGTAGCGCGAACGATAACGTTCGACGATTACACGCGGTATTTGAACGAAGAGATCGAAATGACTCGCCGTCAGTCGTGTATACGATGTAAATTACACGAAGTATATACGATATCCGAATCGAAAATCGCTCTGAGTCCATACGACGACAAACGATAAGTCGTACCGGACTCGATGGAGACGTTACCGTGCGGATATTGGCGGATACTTTTGTAATATATGCTTTTATGTTTTTTCATACAGGGTATATGTATTACTATTATTTTTTACTATTATTATTATTTTTATTATTATGCTTCATGTATTACTATTTCTTATGTATTATCTTAATTTGCACTTTGTGTATGTTTTTCAACATTTTTTATATTTTTATATAGTGTATATGTTACTATTATGTATTATCATTATTTTAAGTTTCACTTCATGTATGTTTTTTAGGGGTGATCCCGATTAATCACGCCTCGATTGGACACCACCAATCACAGCGACCGGTGCTTAGGAGCTTTGTAGTCTCGAGCACTGTGAGTGGCTCGTGTTCAATTGAGCCGTGTCCAACTGGGTGCCATTCGGTTTATATATATGTATGTCCAGGGGCAGCTTCCGTGACCGAAAATAGAATTAGTTAAAAACAGTTTTATAAAGCCTCTTTTGTTGTTTTCTGCCTTCCATTCAAGTAAAATTAATTTATTTTTACTCGTTTTCGAAAAAAAAACGAATTTGGCAGTTTCCAGGACACTCACATATTGGCAGATTCCAGGGCACATATTCTTCCAGGACATTGACAGATTGGCAGGTTCCGGGACAACATATGTTTCCAGGACATTCACAGACTGGCAGGTTCTGGGACAATATATTTTTCCAGGACATTCACGGAATGGCATGTTTCGGGACAACAAATGTATACAGAAGAATTGACTAAATGGCAGAATCCGGGACAAAATATTTTTCCAGGACATTCACGAAATGGCAGGTTCTGGGACAACATATTTTTCCAGGACATTCACGGAATGGCAGGTTCCGGGACAACATATTTTTCCAGGACATTCACAGAATGGCAGATTTCGGGACATCATATTTTTCCAGGACATTCATGGAATGACAGGTTCCAAGACAACGTATTTTTCAGGACATTCACGGACTGGCAGGTTCTGGGACAATATATTTTTCCAGGACATTCACGGAATGGCATGTTCCGGGACAACAAATGTATACAGAAGAATTGACTAAATGGCAGGATCCGGGACAATATATTTTTCCAGGACATTCACGGAATGGCAGGTTCCGGGACAGTACATTTTACAGGACATTCACGAAATGGCAGATTCCGGGACTACACACTTTCCAGGACATTGACTAGAATGGTAGCTTCCGGGACAGCACACTTTCCAGGACAATGATCAGAACGGCAGCTTCCGAGATAGCAAACATATATCTTAAGATATACACGGATAACGGAATGTCTAATGGCAAATTTTTGGCAAGACCATCCTGTAGGTTTTGCTAATGGGGTGTTATGTTTTTGTTAATTATGTTCTTCATCCGGAGTCCTAGTAGTATACCACTTATCTGCCATTCGCATATTTTATTGCAGATTTCGGGTCTGTACATTCAAATATATATACATTGGGTTGTACAGATTCGGAATCTGCCATACACATACGAGGTCTGTCCCAAAAGTATCCGACCTGCTTTCATATCTCCACCCCAGAACTTTCGAGCGACATCTGCGGGTCATGGGCGTAAACAGTAATCCCTCAGGAACTCCCTGTATACCATAGTTACCGACGGAGCGCCTTGGTTCGCGCACAGCGTTTATTTGTTTACAGTGTCTTTTTTGCGTTCGTCGGATTTTGTTATTGACAAAAATGACGGAAAGAACAGATCAACGAATTTGCATCCAGTTTTGCTTCAAACTCGAAAAGAGTTGCGTGGAAACTATCGAAATGTTGCAGAAGGCATTTGGGGACGAGTGTATGGGCAAAACACAGATAAAAGAATGGTACAAGAGGTTTAAAAATGGTCGCACTTCTGTTGACAGTGATCCTCGTTCTGGACGACCTTCGACGGGAATAACACCGGATAAAATTGAGCGTGTGCGACTTGCCATTAATGAGGATCGTCGGTTGACTGTGCGCGAAGT